GCGCTCCGGACGCTGTAAGTGGCCCGGCCCCGCCCCTGCCCTCCGTGCCCCTCGGAGGTCATCAGGCGCTGTGCGTGCAGTTTATCCGTGTCTGCGACTCGGACCAAGAGAGGTGGTTGTCTTTTTTCTCGTCCTGCGCTGGCTCTGCCTGGATTCCCAGCTTCTCCTCATAACCGAAGCAGACCCTAAAGCTACTTTGCTTGCTCTTTTTACTTCCTTTTTTTTTCTTTCCGAACCGGGGATTGAGCGCTGCACCCTGTGCCTGCCCAGCAGGCGCCAGCACCAGTGAGCTGAATCCCCAGCCCTTGTTTCTGGGTTTTGAGACAGGGTCTCGCTGTGGAACACAGGCTGGCCTCGAACTCACAGCAGTCCTCCTGCCTCAGCCTCCTGAGCAGAAAGCATTCTTGAGCCAGAGTGAACTAAGGATAGAATGTCGCTGTTTAAAACCCTTTAAGGTGGCATAGGTGTTTGAGGTAAATAATGAAAGGCATTAGCAAAACAGGTGACTCAGTTGTTAATACGTGTCCCGTGGAAGACGTGGGAGGAGTCATCGATTAACTGAGGAAGTAACTAAGTGGGAAGTGAGTCTCAGGCCTTTGCAGGGGGACCACTTTGGAGGGCAAACTGCAGCGAGCTCAGGTGGTAATTATTTTGGTATTGATTTTACAGTGAGCGTTTCAAAAGATGTAAGCAAGCCGGGTATGGTGGCGTATACCTGTCATTCTAGCCCTCGGGAGGCTGAGGCAGGAGGATCATCTTGACTTTGAGGCCAGCCTGGCTGCACAGTGAATTCAAGGCCAGCCTGACCTGACCAGCAAGACTCTGTCTCAAGAAAAGAAAATAAGAGAAAAGAAAACGAAAGTTTTCTGATAACGTGACATTAACATGTTCATTTTCAATGTTTTCAGGGATCTGTCTTACAACAGTATAAGAGATCTTCCGAATTTTGATGGCTGCCGTGCCCTGGAGGAAATGTAAGTCGGTCCTCGGCTCACTCTTCTCGCTGAGGTGTGTTCTGCACTGTCCTCTTCTGTTCTGGTGGGTGGTTTTGAGTTCAGGAAGTAGGAATTCTGAAGAGCAGGGCTTCCTGTGAGCAGAGTCAGCCGTTCAGACGCCTCCGTGTGCCGGCGTTTACCTGGCACCTTTGTCCCTCGGGCCTCTGCCGCTGCCACCGTCGGGGAGGCTGCAGAGGTAACGCAAAGCAGAAAATCGCTCCTGGCCGTCGAGGGGACCCAATGTGAGGCGCGCGGGTGGCGGTCACCTGGGACACGACAGTGCTGTGTGAATTCCCTGGGTCTCACAGTGTAGCCCAGGGTGGCCTCGAGCTCCTGGCCACCCTCCTCCCTCGGCCGCGTGGTCTTGGGCCCTTTCCCTGCTGCCTCTTCCTCTCCTCACACCCAGGAGGCTCTGAAGAGGTTAGGAGTGGAGTCACACCCTGCCCAGAGGAAATGGAGATTTTTCCCTTGGGCCAGTTTTCCACTTAGAAAAAGCCCGATGGAGTTGAAAACGACTCTGTCCCTCCACCCTCCTCACTCTCCCTCTCCCGTCCTTCTTCTTTAGTTCATTGCAGCGTAATCAAATCTCCCAAATAAAAGAAGGCACTTTCCGAGGCCTGGTGTCTCTGCGGATTCTGTAAGTTGCCCGAGATTATTAAGAAGAAAATCGTGCATCCAGCCTCAGGCCCCACATCCCGTGGCTCATGGTAGCAGCTGCCGTTAGCAGTGTGCGTGTGCATGTGTGTGTGTGTGTGTGCGTGTGTGTGCGTGTGTCACACAGATCGATCTTCCGGCTCCGCCCCATCCCAGCAGAGTGGGCCCAGCTGGAGCTCTGCTGACCCAGGCACCCACCTGGGACACTGGGGACCACTGGAGGGGACCGACAGGATGTGTCCCTCACGGGCGCTGAATGAACGGGCTTCTGTAGTAGGAGAAAGGTTAGAAAATTTCAGTCAAGTAAAGTTACGCGTGTTGGAACTTGCGGGTTCCCTGTGAAGCACCCACAGCAGGGCACAGCTCAGCGCAGGGCACCTGCCTGGCGTGGGCCAATGTGGACCCCCACGCGGGAGGGCCACGGGCCGGGAGGCAAGAAAAGTGAAGTTACATCAGGCTGCAAATGCTTGGTTGACAGCTGTCTGGATCTCGGTTTGGGTTAGGGGCTCGGGTGAGGTTCGGATGAGGGTTAGGGTTCATTGAGGCCAGGGTTATGGTTTATAGTTGAGGTCGGGGTTGGGTTACGGTTAGGTTTAGCATTACGCTTAGGGGTTTAGTTAGGGTTACCTGGGAGCACCCCGGCTGCTAACCACCCTCCTTTGTAGATCACAGGTCACGATCCAAAGCGGTCTCTCTTGGATTTGCACCCGAGTGTGTCAGGCCCCCCATCACCCGTGAGATGAGTCACAGCAGGGTCCAAGCGGCCCTTCAGGCCGGCTCTCCGCCAGCGCGTGGCGTTGCCCACGGCTCCCTGGGCCGCTGCAAGCCGCCCTAGGCTCTGTGTTCCTCTGCCTACCTGGGCGAGGATGGTGCTGGGCTCCTGGAATTCACTGGTTTGCTTAATGATTGTTTTTCTCACTCGCGGCCTTATCACTGACCTTTGAGAGGCACATAATGGGAAACCTGTTTTCCTTTTCTGCCTTTTGCTGAGCAGGTCCGGTCCTCCCTAGCTCAGGGGACCAAAGGTTACATGGTGCCACTTATATTTTTGAATGGGTAGCAGATGACACAGTGGAAAAGATGTGCCACTCTTCCGAGGTAGCTGCAGGTACTGCTCGGGAGCAGAGGGAGAGAGACTTGAGGCTCGGTAGTGAGGGCCTTGCGTTACCGCCTGGGGTTCCAGCCGCAGCCTCTGTGACGCTGGGTTTGGAGGGTTTCTGCAGGAAGATAACGCACTACTCTTAACACTTGCAGGGATCTGAGTAGAAACCGGATCCATGAAATCCACAGCAGTGCCTTTGCGAAGCTTGGAGCCATCACCAACCTGTAAGTGGGCAGGCCTAGCACACAGCGCTGCCGACCTGGAGCGTGTTCTGTTTGGTTCTCCTACGTCCGTGGGAGGTTCATTGCTGTGGTAACAGATGGCAGGACTCAGAGCTGGACCTACTTGTCAGCGCGGGACGGGTCTTGGGGATCTGATGCTGTCTCTGTGTGCACAGATGTCCTCATGGGCTCGTCTGGGGAGCTAACTGGACGCCTCCTTCACATTTCAGAGATGTGAGCTTCAACGCCCTAACTTCCTTTCCCACTGAAGGCCTCAACGGGCTCAACCAGCTGAAACTGGTGGGCAACTTGGAACTGAAGGGGGCCCTGTCGGCAAAAGACTTTGTGAATCTCAGGTGCGTTTCTGCTTGTTTGACCTTTTCTGTTTGTTGGTTGGTTAAAATGATGGTAGTTTCTAAAATTACAGTGTGTCCTGGGTTTTTTGCTGCGGTGCCAGATTTTTCTGGTAGGTTATAATTTAAGAATATTTTCTTCCTCTGTCCTTGCAAATTTGGTGAAAAATAGAACATGAGCGTCACTCTGCAGTTGTGGAGGATGGAAAGCCCTTGGTGCTGTCAAAGAAATCAGGGAACTGACCATCAGAAGTTTATTAAATAGTGAACTTGTCATTAGCAACACGATGCCTAAAGCCACATACCTGTGAACCTACAGAAAACAGATAGCAGTGCTAAGCCAGGCTTGGTGGTGCACACCTGTAATCTCAGCACTTGAGAGGCTGAGGCAGGAGGATCGCCACGAGTTTCAGGCCAGCTTGGGTTACAGAGTTCAAGGGCAGCCTGAACTGCATAGCAAGATCCTGTTTAAAAATATAAAAAGATATAGTGCTATAAAGCTATAATGCTTCCTAGAGACTTCAGGTTATAGATAGACGTCACCAAGTATGGTAGAGAAAACCTTGAGACTATCGTTGTAGGAAAGAAAAGTAAATGCATCGATCTGAACAAAGACACTTCCGTGGCAGTCAACGGTGATTTTATTTTTTAATTTTGTTTATTTATTGCGGGGGGTTGAGACAGGGTCTCACTAGGTAGTTGAGACTGACCTGGAACTCATTATGTAGCCCAGGCTGGTCTCAAACTCACAGCGATCCTCCTGCCTCAGCTTCCTAAGTGCTGGAATTACAGGGGTGCGCCCCCACGCCCAGGTGAGATATTGATTTTAAACAAAGCTCCCAGTTCCTGTGATAAACTGAGCGTCACAGTTCTTCCGTTCAGTTTCGGTACCGTCAGGAAATCCTACATAAGGCCGGGGTGGCCAGATTCTAAGAGCAGGACGGAAGCATCTTGTCTGTCTCTGTGACCTCCTTGGGAGCTTTTCTGCGTGGGGAGGACAGGGAGGCAGCCTGACGCCAGCCCGGGTGTTGCAGGAGCGAAGTACTCCTGTGCAAGTCGCGTTGTCCCTCCGCTCCTCCCCAGGTCCCTGTCGGTGCCCTATGCGTATCAGTGCTGCGCCTTCTGGGGCTGTGAGTCCTTCGCCAGTCTGAGCGCAGACGGTGACCGCATGCAGGCCCCTGCGGGCAAGGAGCAAGGCAAGCGCTGGGGGCGGAGCGGGCTGCGCTGGCCCCTGAAGGGGAAAGCGGCGGGGATGTGTCCTTCCGCCCGCGCCCACGTGGCTCGTGTCTCTACAGGCGCTGACGCCGGGAACAACTTGACAGGCGGCGCAGAGCGGGAGCGCAGCCAGGTCATCATGCACTGTGCGCCGGCCACAGGTACGCGGGGCCAGCCCTGACCGTGACCGCTCTCATAGTGGACTGTAGGGCGGGACCCCAGGCCCAGTCCGTGCCGCTGGTGGGGTGGAAGGGGCGCTTTCCGGAATGCTCGCTTTTGTTTGGGGTTCTTTAGACAGAGTCTTGCTGTGTAGTTTAGGCTGGCCTCAAACTCGCAGTGATCCTCCTGCCTCAGCCTCCCCAGTGCTGGGATTACCGGTGTGCACCACGACAGCCCTTTGACCCTAAGATTTACATGTAATGATTTTTAAAGATTTTTGTTATTTTGCTGTTTTCAATGCAGCCTTTCCTTTCTTTCTACTTTGCTTCCCTGAGCGCAGTAGTCTTGGGAGAGTTAGTAAGCAGCTTGGGCCGTGGTGACAGGTGCTGCACACTGCCCCATATTCCAGAGAAGCCGGGTCTGTAATTTTAGGTGGAAAAGAGTAACTCCGGGTTGAATGGTGGGCTGCGAGCAGATGCCCTGTTGGCACGATGCCGCGGGAAGATGAGCATCAGGGTGTATCTTGGAACCCTGGTGTCAGGGGGCAGGAGGCGCAGGCCTGTGCCTTCCCTGCCCTCAGGAAGCTGAGTCGAGAAGCTCCCTGCCAGCTCAAGGCCGGTCTGGGCTACAGGCCAAGGTCCTGTCTCCAAAATCCAAACAGCAAACAGCAGAGGGATGGTGCGGGCAGGCGGCCGGGAGCGTCCGGCTCACGCGTCCCCAGGCGGGGGGCACCCAGCCCTGCTCAGGGTCCCTCCGTCCCTCCTTCCCCGGCTCAGGCGCCTTCAAGCCCTGTGAGTTCCTGCTGGGTAGCTGGATGATCCGCCTCACCGTGTGGTTCATCTTCCTGGTGGCCCTGCTGGCCAACCTGCTGGTCATCGTGGCGACATTCGCGTCGGGCGCCTCCCTGCCCCCGTCCAAGCTGCTGCTGGGCCTGCTGGCCGTGTCCAACCTGCTCACGGGCGCGTACACCGGCGTGCTCTCGCTGCTGG